AGATTCTATATTTTCATTAGATTTTTCTTTTTGTTATTATTTTATTCATGATGACATGTGCTAGCCCTGATCCTTACGTTTGAGCATGTCATAACAAACGGCCAACAAGCTGTTCTGTGAGCCTGCTGGACTGCCTTAGTCTGCCCCTGGTTCTCACATCCCTGTCTACCCATTTACTGCACTCTTCCGCTTTGTAATTTCATTAAAAGCATTGGACCGGTGCAGTTCATATATCTCTTTCATTGACTTGGATCTCAGCCTGCTCCTGCCTCTGCAGCCAAACTTAAATGAACAGCATGTATAGGTTCACGTTGCACAGCATATTATTTGAGTGTTACAAAAGTGTCCAGTTGATCCCGAACTAACTTAAGGTTAGAGGCCGAAGCGAGTGTTGGAACGGGTTAAACTGACTTGAACAAAGCCTTAAGCAAGAGCCATTGTTGAAAGGAACAGCAGGCTACAAATGTTCAGTGTTGATGGCCACTGAATAAAAAGAATACAGAAAAGCAGAGAGGGCAGAGAGAAATAGAGTCATTTAATAGTCCTCATCATCTCCCATCAATGACCAAATAGGGGAAATCAATCAAATGGCCTTGGCTGGATAAAACAAGCTGAGGCTTCTGCTGAAGAGATAAATGCTTTTCATTTGTTAGGCACTGATGCATGTTGACATGAATATGTGTCTGTGAGTGAGTGCTCTACTGTGTATGTATGCGTGGTTCAAATAAAGTGCATGCGCACAACACACATTTATCTGAGTGCTTCTCTTTGAAGGGAGGGAGCAGAATTTTCATCGCACAAAAACACACTCAAAGGGCTTTGCTTTTGTTATCATTAAAACCGCAACAAGGACCAAATAGTGCAACAGTCTTCCACCGGGAGATTAATAGAGTGTGCACTTTTAGAAATTTGTTGATTAACTGCATACTAGACAGGCATTTGTTCATACTCTTGTTGATCAGGATAGCTCACAGAGGTGCCAGAGGCTAAATGATGTTTGGTGTGTTTTCACTGTGCTGCACATATACAAGTCTCAAGAGAGTGCAGTGGAAGCACTCACATGAATCCCTGCTCTGTGGAGTGATGCTGTGCTTTGTTGAGTCACACTGAAATCAAAGAAGGGACGTGCAGGACAAGTACGCTGCAGAGACTACCTGACAAGCAACAGCAATTCCACTGCAGATGGATGAAAGTGCACATCTTCATTTATCAAAAACCTACTTTTGTCTTATTCGCTTTAGAGTTACATATTCAGATCTCACTGTCCAGCTGTTACAATCCAGCTGAGAGGAAAGAGGAGGTTACCCTCAATTACTACCCTCACATCAGAGCAATAAGTGACCACCGCCAGAGCTAAAGGTTTGTACACTAGTGGACCTCCTGGATCAGACCTGCAGACACAGCTCCGGGCTAAAAATACTGAAAGTCCTATGCATGTTTAAACAGCAAACATTTACTATTTTTTACACTCAATATCCTCCATATTACAGTCTTGGTGAAGGTGGACATATTTATTTATTGTAAAGTACGAGGTCAGTGTCAACAAAATCTTCATGTGAAAAATGAAAAATGTTTAGTAGGAGTGCTACAGTAATAAAGTAATTTAAATAGCATTTCTCATTTTAATGAGGCTATCTTCATGTGGAAACAAATCAGATGAAAATGAAATGCCATAATAATTAGATATTTTCTAAGGTTATGTAAAGTGTTATTTAAAATGCTGGAAATAACATTCACATCATTTCTTTGCTTCTATTTCGCTTTTACCACTTCTGAAACTAAACTTATGATGATGATCCAGAAGAAGGCTCACTACACAGGGAGAGGCACGGCACAGTTTGTATAACGTAATGTAGAGCCAAAGAGATTTAAGCATCTCCTTTGAACATTTAGGAGTTGATATTTTTGAAGGTGCATATTCAGAAATGAAAATATGAAAATGGGTTGGCTGCCAATAGGGTTTATAATCTTGACTGATGCAAGGCTGAAATGATCACACACCAGAAACGATAATAAACCATTAGTTTTAATCAGATTTAAAGTGCAAAGTCAAGGAGGAAATCCATAAAAAAAATGACAGAACATTTTTCTTTTTGTTTGTTTTTCTTGCAAGGGGAATTACTTTTTATTTTAAAGCAAATAGGGGAAATTCAGCAAACAGTGTTTTACCCAAATGCCAAACACTTACTGTAACATTTATTGTGACCGGCCAGCAATGGAGCCTTAATTTTTACTGCCATCTAGTGAGCAGCCACAGTTTTTTCATTGTTGCCATCTGGTCTTCTCTATTTCTTTTTCCTTTATTAGCGAGGAACTTCTTAATTTTTTAAAAATCAGTCAGTGACTATTACAGCATTGTTAAAAATTGTATATCTTTCCACTTTGAATAACATTCAATAATAGTATGCCATCACATGCTGTGCAGCTCTGAGAATCAGCAGATTTTCCCGGTTAACTGTAGTGGACTTTCCCTGTAATCTACTTTTGTATTAGTTGCTTTGATTGTTCTTATCCTATAAAGCGTCCTTGAGGTTCTGAAAAGCCCTATACAAATATAATGCATCGTTGTTATTATTGTTGTTATTCTTAATTGGTGAATGTAAATGTATGTTAGAGATGGAGGTAAGGCTCTCAGAGACAGTGGTCTGTGCTACTGATGACAGAAAAGTCATGTCAGTCTCACTTACTCTTACATTACAAAGCTAAAAATAAAATCTTCCAAAGTTGCATGTAAAGGAAACTTTAGTTCCACGTCATTGTTGCTCCATTTTTACATTATCAAAATGACGCTGATAGCACAGGGTGCAGACCCTTTGCTCCTTTTTTTGTGCTGACAGTGTTGTACAGACCACTTTCAGGAAACGTGGTAGAATGGTGCTTTTGTGTGTTTCGTTTTACTATGTAGTGAACTACAAAATGTGTTTTGTGTCACTACGTCACAGTCAAATTCCCTGCAGCCCCCAACTTGTAATATTATTCCTCATCCTGCAGGATTACAACAAATGTTGCTTCAGTTTACTGTATGTCTACACATAATGAAGAAAGTATGCTTCCAAACAGCCCTAATGTAATTGTTGCACATTATATGACACATCAAATTGTCTGCGGTCATGACAATGAAAAGGCTGTGCAAAAGGAGAGGAGAAATGTGTTTGTATATTATGTTATTGTGTCATAGCAAAAGAATGTCTACAAGTGTTCATAAGAGCAAAAAGGAACATCGCTGCCACCAGAAACAACGTTTTATTTTCAGTCACATTCTATATGTAGTGCACACTCCTAACCCTAACTCTACAAAATACTTAGTGGAATCTAACGTTTCTGTTTTTCAAGTATGAATAAAATCATGTCAATAATTATACAGCACTCTAAAAATATGGTAAGAAAATTCAAAAAATGTACATAAAATGATTCAATAATAAAACAATTCACATTATGATATCCTATTTTATGCGATAATATACCGTCGTAGTGTAATAGTATTACATTAATATCATAAAACTATCGCAGTCTGACTGGGCAGAGCATCGAGAGAGTTCCCAAATATAAATATCTAGGCATCTATTTGGACCAAAAACTCACATTTGAATCTTATATTGAAACATCACCCTGCAAGCTAAGGCAGAAAATTGGATATTTTTACAGAAATGTAGCCACTTTTCCCGTATTTTTTAGAACGCAAACAATCCAAGCAGTCTTCTTGTCTGTCCTTGACTGTGGAGATGTCATCTACAGAAATGCCTCTGTTTTTGCTCTGAAACCTTTGGATTCAGATTATCACTCATTCTTCAGAATCATTACCTGCAACTACTGTTCTACTCATCACTGCTTATTGTATGGAAAAGCTGGCTGGCCATCTCTAACAGTAAGGTCTGAAATATGTTGGTTTCTGTTTATTTATAAAGCACTAAATGGCAAAATACCTCAATACATACCTGCCTGGCTAAATGTGTCCCTAAATCAGCATTCAAGCAGTTGGCTAACACTCGAAGTCTCACATTCCTGCACTGCAGTTGGTAAAAACACTTTAAGCTTTTCAGCTTCATACAGCTGGAAAGTCCTGCAGAAAACATTAAAGCATGGTGCAGCTGTATCTGTTGACCAGTTCAAATCCATAATCGCAGACTACACTGGTTTTGAATGTGACTCTTTTAACTTTTTTTTTTTTTTTTAACCTTTATTTTAACAGGTAAGTTAATTGAGAACTGGTTCTCATTTTCATAACAACCTCGTTCCTGGTATTCATTTCTTTGTTGTCTTGTTAATTGTTGCCTTGTTTATTCTGTTGCACGTACTCTCAACATTGTAAATGAGGGCTTGCCCTAAATGATTCCTCAAGACTTAAATAAAGGTTGAATGAATGATAGAATGAATGAATGAATGAATGAATGAATGAATGAATGAATGAATGAATGAATGAATGAATGAATTTATAATGCATATTACAATGCTATAATATAATGAATTCTACAAATATAATGCTATACATTCAATACAAAAGGATATACATACAAGTTATTAAAAAACTAAGCTAAAAATGAAGAGACATATGTATTATGTACACTTTATTTTTCGATTATGTCACATGTATTTTGTTATATTATATAATATATGATATTTTTTATTATATTGTGTTATATTATATTTTATTGTATTGTATTTTATCTCGTTATATTATATATGTTATTGTGATATATGGTATTATGAAAATGTATCATGCATATCAGCACTATAAGATAAAGCCTTATAAATACAGTACAATCAATAATATAAATTTAAATCCAAACTGATATTCACACAAACTATTGTACAATAAAAAAAATTAATTAAAAAATATATATTCTTGTATGTTTTTAGCACATTTATATGGACAAACTATACAGTTAACTGGATTTTTTTTTTCTTCGTGTAAAAAAACTACTGGTGGGTGTGGCTTAACGTCATGACGTCTGCGGTCTTACGTAAACCGTCCGGCGCAAAAATTCAAACCCTGAACAGGAAGAAAAACTACGGCTTGTTCTCTGCTTGTATGTCATATTACAGTTTTTAACCACTCTCAACAAGCTCACGTCGGATTTTACATTTCGAAGTACGGTGAGTGCATTGAGCATGTCTGATAAAGCTCTTTTGTGTCAGTGAGCCAATTAGTAAACAATGAGAGTAAGAACACGTTCACACCGAAGCTAGCGTTGTTGTGCTAAGTTAGCTTTCCATGCGTAGCTTCGTTAGCAGATAGCTGTGCCTAGACAACAATATTCGTGTGATTGTTTTGTTCTGGCTGGGATTGGTTAGGTAACTTAACTTTGCGAATATGTTGTGTTAAGATGGAATTTGCGTTCTCAAAGCGTTTATTATTGTGAGGTTGCGTCACTTTGTAGTCATCCTACAACTCTTAATACAGACCTTTTGTTTATATGTGACTGGAGCTGACTTCCAGTTTATGTCGAAAGTACGACTTAAGTTTGTGGGCATGAATCCACAAAGCAGTACTATTAAAAACGAGTATTTGGGAGTGACATAAACAAGGGACAAAACACAGTACGCGATTGTATTGAAGTGTTACTAATGAATTGTATCTATTTAAAAAAGAATTTCTTGAAAAGAGAAAAACATGTCTACGATTATTCCGTTACTAGTCATTTGCAAGCCATGGCAAAAATCAAAGAGTTTGTTGAGTTTCTTGTTTGAGACCATCACTGAAAGAGAGTTCCTGCTGCAGGTAAAGACTGACACTAAAGGCATATCCAAGTGTGTTTGAGTGCCGGTGGCCACAGTGCAAAGCTTCATGTAAAAATACAAGGAGCTTCACACTGTGAGAAATCTCACAGGTCATGGTAGAAAGCCAAAGTGACCCCTGCAAGAATTGTTGTGTGAGATGCAGAATCCAAGGTTCTCCTCAAAGGAAGGATGTTGGATTCTGCATCAAAGGCTACGCTGTTATCCATCCATACATTATCTATACACCGCTTAATCCTCACTAGGGTCGCAGGGGTGCTGGAGCCTATCCCAGCAAGTCTATTGCAGGGCTACACTTAGAGGCAGACAACTAAGCACACTCACATTCACACAATTTACAATCACCAATTAACCTCACTGTGTTTTTGGACTGTGGGAGGAAGCCGGAGAGAACCCACGCTGCACAGGGCAAACTCCATGCAGAAAAATCCCAGTGCCCCCACTGGGACGCAAACCGGCGACCTTCCAGCTGCGAGGCTACCTACTGCACCACTTTGCAGCCCCTATGCTGTTATATCAGAGCAATTCGAGCATCATCACCTCAAGGCAGACACTTCAGGAGACACTACACAAGACTGTTCTCCCTTTATGCTCACCAAGTTGGACTCCACTTCTGCAGGACTGACACACAAGGCTCACTTGGACAAAATGGAAACCTGTTGATCAAATAAAAATTGACTGTAAATCAAACTTTGGCTTGAATATGAACTATTTTGTGCCTAATTACACATTGAGAATACCGCATGCTGATCTTAAAGTATCACTTCCTACCAATCGCTCCAATCTTTAGGTGTAACTTCAGGAAATTAATCTGGTAAAAAAAAAAGAAAAGAACTATAACATCAAGTTATCTGTATATAGTGTGAAACTTTGAAATGTTGTACAGCACAAGTACGATACTGTGCAACAAATTTTAAGCGTGTGACCATGTGCTATCTTTTTATACATTTTTATTTTTTATCTCTCTGACTGTTGAAATATGATCCCAACTATGTTCCTTTGTATGCTGTTAATTTCTTCCTCTGTCTCTAGCTACGATGAGTGCAGCCTCCACACCTGTCTCCCGGGTTCGCCCAGGATGGACGTCGGCCTCTTTGAAAAACAAGGGTCTGTCCCCTGCAGCCTGCAGCACCCCGCTGCTGGCAGCCTTCCCTGGCAACGATGACGAGCAGGAGCGTCGTCAGCGCAGGAGGTCAAGAGTCATTGACCTTCAAAGTGCCACTGATACTTCCTTCACTGACTCTGCGTCTCATAGGTAAGTTGTAGTGACAAAGGCTGTAATAAAGGCTTAGCAAACCATGCTGACTGGCTGCTATGAATCTTAAAAGCTTAAAAGCAATCTCATTTTTGTATGCAGTGCTGTGGGGACTCCTGCTGCCGTGCCTAAGCTGTCAAATGCACAGATTTCAGAGCATTACTCCACCTGCATAAAACTGTCCACGGAGAATGTAAGTGTCTCTCCCGTGTGCATGCATGTATATAGATTGTTGATTACACAGAAATCATTTAGTGGTTCACGCTGTTCATTTTGAAGTGTTAATATAATTACAATGGTAATGGGTTTTTTAGCTCCTTTTCTTTTCACAGATAATGTGTTTTGTCTTTCTTTTCTTTTTCCATCGCCCAGCTTTAAGATATATAGCTATTAATTTTGAAAAAGGAACTGTTTAGAGCTAAAGGGAAAATCAATGACTGATTTTTTTATTATTATTATTTATTTATTTTTGACAGAAAATCACCACCAAAAATGCCTTTGGTCTGCATCTGATTGATTACATGGCTGATATTCTCAAACAAAAGGATTCTGAGCTCACTAACTTCAAGGTATGTTTTTTTTTGTTTGTTCATTTGTTGTTGTTTTTTTTTGTTGTTTTTTTTAATCCACATTATAACAACTGATTTTGACAGCTCCCTTAGTTTCCCCAAAGCCTTTAAACGTTTGCTTAATTAAGTGAGGTTAAAACAAAAGCTTAATGTTTCATCTTTTACTAACTGTTGTTGTAGTCGTGTAAGTGCTACAAAAGCAGACTTTGAAGTCATCATTATTTTTTTATTTTTTTAAAAAGGGTGTGTGTGTGACAGATGCCTGTGGGAGTTTTTAAATGTTTGAATCAGCTAGGTAATAACCATCAAGCGGATTTGCTTTGAAGAAGCAGGAATCCACATCAGCGGCCTGGTTGAATATTCTGCTTTCAAGTCCTGAAAAAGTGATTTTTAGTTAAAGGTCTTAAATCCAGTGAATTCTGTTTAACACAGTGTCTTATCTTACAAGAACTCAATCTTTCTCACAAGAAATCAGTCCGTCCTTCACAGACAGTCTGCTGCATCTTGAGTTAACGTAATGAAGGCTGCAGACACACTGTTGTCTAAAGGGATTGTAATTTGATGACTTAAAAAATGTGAACATCGTTTGAGATGTCTGTCATGGACATTGTTATAAATTTTTTGCGTGCATTATGTATATTTTTGTATATTTGTGTGTGTGTCGTACAGGTGGCAGCTGGCACTCTGGATGCCAGCACTAAGATCTATGCTGTGAGGGTGGATGCTGTTCATGCCGATGCCTACAGGGTGCTGGGTGGCCTGGGGGCCGAAACCAAACCCGGAGAGGGTGAGAGCATCAGCACTAATTTTCACACAGAATATAAAAGTTGACCTACCCTCATTGCTCCACTGCTTAAAATGTTTGGCTTATTGTTTCACTTTTTTCTTATTTTACAGACCATTCTCCAAAAGAGGAGGATGGAAATGATGATGCAGGAGGTGAAGTGCCTGCCAAGCAGCCAAAGAAAAAGAGGCCTCCTAAGAGGACCGTGGAGCAGAACCTGAGCAATATTAATAGTGCAGAATCTGAAAGGAGGTGTGAGGTATGGCATGATCTTTACTGAACAATTTAGGTTCAAATTACACCTCAATACTCAAATGAAGGGCTAAAAAGATACAATAGAAAAATAAACATTACAGTGCAGTGAAAAATATTAAATAGTTGCAAATTTGTTTTAGTAAAAGGCATTGACAGACAGAAAGTAATTCAGCTGTGGTTTAAAACAAATAACAGTTGGAACAGACCTCAGATTTTCTGAGAGTTTCTTCCAGATATGCTGGACTAGTGTTGACTTTGGGGACAAAAAGAGAACCTGTTCCAAATGATCTGAGCGATGTGAACATTTTAAAATGTATCAGCAGATCAGAAATGTATTTTGGGCCTAAAGCATTCGTTGCTTGGTAAACAGCTGCATTTTACTATCAATCTTTGACGCACAGGAAACAAGTCTGAAGAAAGTCAGAATCAATGTTCATGTTTTTGTTATTTTGTACACATTTGAGTTAGTCAATTTTGGTTTCACACTACAATCACGCGAGTACACCATGGAGCTTTACATGACATGCCTACATCCTGTCATCATCACCTGCATGGACTAAATCTCCCTGTACTTGACACTAAATGGATTGTAAACTTGCATGCATCTGAAATCATTATATTGTCATTTTTTCTACTGACTTATTACATCGTTTTGAACTGCTCAGACAATTTTGTTATATTAAGGTGACATTGCCTCTCCCGCCCTCTCCAAAAATATCTGGAAAGTGTCAGCATCTTTTCCTGTTGACTTTATAGAATGCCATCAGATCATATTTCAGTTAAAGTTCCTGTAATATGACTTAAAGTCTGTTCGCTTGGATGAAACTGGACAAAATTCTGGACTAAATGAGTTGGATGTCAAAGGGCTGCAACAAAGGCTAGTTACTGTATTTACAGAGGTCACTTTACCTGACTTACAGTCATGGCAACATCGCTGTAGTTGGAGGATATCATTCAATCAATGATTGAAGATTTATAATCCGGTTATATCCCCTGAATGTCTGGCTGATGACTGATAAGTTCATATTGATTGAATTTAATTATTAGACATAGGTCACTGAGCTGCTATCTCAGAAGACACTTTGAGAGATATCTGTGCGCTTTTTTTTTCCCCGTTTTGATCTTGATTACGATTGCATCACGCTGCCATAGTTGTTAACACAAGTTGCTAACAATTTTTTACACACCATATTTAAGTTCATGTCAGGTTATCAAACTAAATTCTGTTCTGGCATTTCTATCAATATGGTCAACTGTCCGTCTGTTCCATTCAGGTGGACCCCATGTTTCAGCGGATGGCCTCGTCCTTTGATGAGAGCAGCACAGCAGGTGTCTTCTTGTCCGTTCTCTTCAGTGAGAACAGTCGCTGTGAGCTGCTGTTTCCCTCCTATATGACCCTCCTGCAGTCCAGACCCTCCTACTCTCCTCCACCTCCACAGGGAGTCACTGCATCTCCCTTCATGGGTAAAAGCAATTTTCAAAAAATGAATTTTCACTCATTTGCATAAGCCATTACATGCTGTGCCTTTAGTTGAGTCATTGAGATAATGTCTGAACTTTCATGTGCCTCCTGTGTTGAAGTTGTTGGTCAGTAGGAATACTAAACCCCATCTTTCTGTGCTGTGTTCCTGCCAGCTGGACTGCAACGTTCACAAGAGAAAAGTTCTATCTGCCCCTCGCTGCAGGACTTCTCCTTTACTAGCTGGAACCCTGAGCAGGTATGAGGAACTATATAATCAAAAACCCTAATATTACACATTATTGTAATCAAGTTCTCAATTTCTTCTTCTTCTCAGTTCTTTGGTATAGAAAAAAAAACTGTCAACCATACAGGATTGTTTGATTCTCTGTTAGTGTAGTCTTTTAATGTCACCATATGTAATTTGACAGAAAGGCTTTATAACTCTGTATAGTACGTAAGTGTTGATCTCAGTGTATATGGTGTGTAGTGGCAGAGATTTAAGGTCTGTTGTATACAGTAATTTCAGCATGTGGTTCAAGGAGCAGAGAATTTCACTTGAAGTGTAAGATAAGAGCAATCATCTGCAGTCAGTGTTCCGGCAGGTCTGACTTAACCCTTTGTTCGCTTGTCTGTTTTTACAGATTTGTGCTCCACTTTTTCACACTCTCTTTTTATAGAAGGCCTCAAAAAGTAAAAAGTTAAAATGTGTTTAAGTATTTTCTAAAGGCAAATGTATTTCATTAAATCTTCTGATAAATGAGCACTTCATCCTTGCGTAAAATTACTTCGATGAGCACTTTAACATGCCCTCTGTCTGACCGTACATCTGCTTTCAGACCATGAATCAGCTCTTGGAGAAAATGAAGCAGGGCGAGCACGTGTTTGACGTGAATGCTGAGCCTGAGCCTGAGCCAGAGGAAGATGACTGCCCTGACTTTGATGCCGACTATGAGGAGGGACCAGGTGACTGTGAAGAGGGATCCAAGGAGCATAAGGAGGGTTGTGAAGCCTCTGGTTCCAGCAAAGGAAGGTAAGACGTATTGTACAGCAGTTCAAAAGTGATGTTTGTTTTCAGCTAAGAGATGAAGAAGTAAAAGAACTCAACACAAACCTTTAAATTATTCTATTCCTCTGTTTTTGTTTAACGATTTTTATATCCTAACTAGAAAACTTACTAAAGGTTTCTAGGGATGAGACTCTTTTCTTCATACTTTTTTGCACTTTTTCATCTCACTCTGAATAGTCGGAAATGCAGTTTGTAGTCAAATTAATTAAGGGCCTTGATTAGGTTCTTTACAGAAGAAGAGCATCTTCTCCTTGTTGCCTTTTAAAGTTTGAAAGTTTAAAATACATAATTTACTTTTTCATGGGGATAAAGTTGCGTCACTGCCGGTTAGCACCACAAGTGATGGCATTTAAAATAGTTAGAACGTACAGTATGTTGTAAATGGTTCAAAATCCAACACTGCCTCTGTTAATAGACGACTGATTTTCATCTGCCTGTTCTTGTGATAATCCTACAGGGACGTGATTCCCATTGGAGAGGGAGACATCGCCACTATGTGTCTGCAGCTGTCCTCTCAGCCCAGGGAGTATTCATACTTCAGCCCCAGGACCATGGCCACATGGGCAGGACCTGGATACTGGCAGTTCAAACCAAAGCACAAGTGTGAGTTACACTATATATTTCCCCATCCACATAATTACAGTTTACTGTGGTGCCAGAGTCAAGACTAGAAAAGCAAGAATCCATGTAATATATAGCATTTCTTTTTAATAAAATGTGTTATGTATTATGTTGATAAATGTTGGTAGATGGGATTGAAACAATAAAATGAGCTTTTGCTCTTACAAACTTTGATGAGGGTTGTTGTATCCTCAGTCTACTGCCATTCTTCCTCATGCTGTCTTTATGTCAGACTTAACAATGTGTTTCTAGTTTTGGTCATTAGCCATCATATATGCAATATTGTAGAAATTCCTTGGATGCTGTGGTATACTGACAGTGTAATGGGTTTTTTTTTTTTTATTGTTGTTGTTTTTTTGTTTTTTTTGCTTTGAGTGATATGTGAGATGATTGAGATGATTTTATAATGCCTGTATTTATGTACTTTGTCTCTTATAGTGGATCATTTGCCTGACAAGGAGACGCGTAAAAGGAAGCCCAGAAAGACCTATGAAATAGACTTCAATGATGATGTCAACTTTGACACCTACTTCCGTACCACAAGGGTAAAAACTTCTGTTTCAAACAAGAGGCATTAATTGAAACTTTAAAAGCAGTCTGATTGTATGTCTATATAAACTAAAGTAACAGGCTATTTGTGTAGTGTGATCAAAAGTCACTTAAGTGCTGATTTCCTATTATCAAGACAGAAAGGATCAGTTCTACTGTCAATTCATGTCTGCAATCAGCTCAGTTCATTATGTCTTTGTGAATAGCAAGGCGATAATGAAGCACATCTCATATTGATAACGCTGCTGATTTTGAGTGATCTGTTTATAATGGTGGTTTTATTATAGAATGAAGCTCTGGCCGTGTTTATGTTGTGCAGTTTAGTTCAGTGCTTCGACACCTAACAACAGAGTCAGAGGTGATCGGTCTCAGCCCGTCTCATCTATTGAAATATGGAGGCATTAAGGCTGTAACGTAGCTCTTTCTGGTATTGTAGCCATGGCAACACAGCATTCAGCACTTTAGGAGGTATTTTTGATGCAGCTGTTGTCACAGTTATCATGTCTGGAAGTCTTTTATGTCTCTGCTCTGAAAATATATTTGTGGATGTTGGTTAACCAGTACGAATACTTAAAGTGATCTTCTATTTAGTTATTTTTTTCCTAATAAAAATGTTTTGCTTTAGGTCACCTGTTATGAACGTTTCAGGACATTTTCAGAGCAGAATATGTTCGTTGATAGTTGAGCCTTGCAATAAATGTCTACAACACTGATGATACAACTAGCTCTAATAAGGATTTTTGTAAAATACAACACATTCTCTATAAAAAGTCAAAATTTGAAAGTTGTTCACAGTAAATATATAGGATACCCAAAGACTCTTTATCAAACTGACATTAACTGAATAATTTCTTCTTACCCTTTACAGGCTGCCACCACTAACAGCAAGTCTGCCCTCAATGCCAGCAATAAGAAAACAACTCTGCCAGCAGACTTCCAGTTTCCCCCAGAGACGCTCTCTCAGCTCAGCCTCAAACCCTCCAGCTCGGTGAGACGTCACTAATGCCGTCAGCTCACAGAGCTGGTGGAAGAGGTCGAAAGTACAGATGTGCAAACACTGAGTTTTGTGTTTGTTTGTCAAATCAGGACATTCTAATGCAACACAAATTAAGAAATTGTTTGAGAAAATGAGTAAATAGAGTCAGTGAAGTTAGTGTAATTAGATAGTTACTCATTATGAACTTTAGTAAATACTGCTAACTCTGAAACATTTTAATTGAGAAATTAAAATAGTGTGTTTTGCTACTGTGAATTTGTATTTATATAATTAGTTTCTGTTAACTGAACAGCACTCAAGAGGTTTCCTACCAACCAATAGCCACAGAAGTCTTTACAAGCTAAGACTTTTCAGTTTTAACCAAAATTGGTGCAACTTCAATTAATAAATCGCTTCATACAATTATCAGTATGTCCACAATTTCAAACAGATAATTTTTGTTGTGTACTATGTTTGGTTTGTTTATTCCAGTTGAGTCAGGAAGGCCAGAAGAGGCTGTCTGGAGAGCTTGGAGAAGGCATTGGAGATTATGACTACAACAACGCCAACGACACAGCCAACTTCTGTCCAGGTCTTCAGGTCTGAAACACACCATTTTATATGACTTTTGATTTTACTGTATTTATCAAACTTTTTTGTATCTATGGAGTGAATTGGTGGGCAATGTGGCCTAAAGATACCATGATATTGTGGAGTTGTTTTAGATAGAGTAATCACAATATTATAGCACAGTGCTGGGTGACTGAGACCTGGTGAATTCACAAAGTGTTTGGGGGAAGCAGATTTGAAGATAACTAGCTAGATTCACTTATGCAAACTGACCTGCTGTACTGATGTGGGCCTGTTGAGTCCAGCAAATCAATACCACACTTACTACTAATAAACTTTAAGTTGATACAGATTATATTTTGAGCTGCATGACTTGACTTTTCTCAATTTGTATAAACTCACAATGCAATGTGCTGCACAGGTTAATTACTGTGAAACAAACAATGAAATGAAAAAAAAAGAAGTCAGTCATTGCCACCTCAGATGAATCAGATCTTTTAGTGTCTTTCTATCACAGCCAGTTTGTTACCAAATGATTGTGAAAGCGACCTTTTTTGAGTGATGTAGCACCTTTGCTCTTTTCTCTAAAAATTAATGTAATTAATCTGCCTGTTCATTCAAACAGGAAGCATCATTACTGTCACTTTCAACCACCTTTCTTCTGCTGGGTTATGAAGTAAAAACAGAACGCCACACTGTTGTAAAAAATGTCTCACTGTAAGGTTGTTGCTGCTTTTATCATCAACACAATGATACAGCACCACCAGAGATAGCAGAAGAGCAGGGAGAGTCTACAGGGGCTTCTTTGTGTTTATGAACCTATTATCTTTCAGACCCTGTCTCACAATAAAATGATTCCACTGTCATTGTTATTGCATGAACACAGCACCACATCTGCACCAAATACCGAAGAAGTTATTAATAGGTCACAGCAAAACAAAAAGTAATCAGGAACCACATCTCAAGCTGCAATTTGTTCTCTCTTCCATTTAAGGGTGGTGACAGTGATGATGATGTTGAAGGGTTTACCGGTTCAGATGATACACAGCCGTCAGGGGACAGTATACCTCTGCCCTCACAAGACCTCGAGAACGTATCCACCTATGGGGAGGAGGATCTGGTACCTGAGCCACACAGGGTGAGTAATGCAAGAGTAGAACTTCTAGATAGAGACACATGAGATGACTTTGCACAATAGTGTCTGTAACTTAAACTGCTTTATGATCTCTGACAATTCAAAAGTTTCTCCTGACAGTGGAATTTTAGTGCCCGACATCACCTGCTGTCACCAACTCTCAGTGTAACAAAAGTTTGTTTGTGTAGGTCAATAAGATTGAGATCAACTATGCCAAGACAGCAAAGAAAATGGACATGAAGAGACTCAAGAACAGCATGTGGACTCTTCTGACTGAAAGCCCAGAAAAACCCACAGAGGTAAATTGCATCTGCTTTTTTTGTCTGCAGGTATATAAGATCACAAATTAATCATGTTTGGGTTTGAAGCTAGTCGACAGTCATGGCTGCAATGTGGTGGGCAGAGTAGACAGTCAGTTATTTTAACTGTGTACATCTGTTTGATTCTGTTGTTTTATTCGTTTTGTCTTCGTGTTCCCTGCAGGTGGTGGAGACTGTGGAGAAACCAGAAGTGTGTGGGGAGAAAGTCTTCAGTCAGACCACGAAGTCGCTGCTTCAAAGGTACCAGCAGACCTCCTGTCATGCCTGCCATGCCACTGTGCTAATGAGGAATAATAATGACTGACTAGCATTCACCAAAAGAACCCTGTGTACAAATATATGTATCTGCATGCTAGGATGTTTTACCTCACTGTTGTTGGGATCAACAACAGGATATGGGAGTGTCCTCTCCAATACATTTTTATTCTTTTAGAATAATGTTTACCTATAGATTCACAGTGACTTGTTAGATTCTCATATTGCTGAGAAACTTTGAATAGACTGATAGAGACCACTGGTCACATTTTTTTACTCATGTTGAAATACTGGCTTGATAGGACAGTGTATGTCAATTTGAACTTTGCGTAAGAACCCTCTAGTTTTGTTTCTGGGAACCAAAACTCTTGCAGAGGTTGACATGATTTTGCCAGTTGTCATAGTAGATCTGCATCATTTGAACCCTTCTGTGAACTAGCAAGTGGCAGAACTAAAAACTACTACTTCCATTAAAGGCTTAAACATCATGATTGATAAAATGTAGAATTTATTGAGAACATCTCTCTCTTTCCTCTCACTCTATTCTATGGCGGTCCAGATTGCCAAACACTATGGCTCAGAACCTGTCGGTGCCTCTGGCATTTGTTGCTCTGCTTCATCTTGCCAATGAAAAGGTGAGTGTTGTTTACTTTAATCACTACAGATGGAAATACTGAAAGTGTGTAGTATATTGTAAGTTGCTTAAATTCCTGGAGAAATTAACAAAAATACATACATTTAAAAGCAATAGTTCAACATTTTGGGAAATATGCATGTTTAGTTTCTTGGTGAGAGTTAGATGACAAGGTTGATACCATTTGCTTATCTGTCAGCTTAAATAAAGAACAGAAACAGGGAAACAGGCTCTGCCAGTTTGGCATTTTTCTGTGGTTAAAGGACTGTACGCAACATTTAGAACCAAAGGCTCTAAAAAAAAATCCAACTACAACCATTAGCCCACACTAGCATTGCTAAAGACATTAAATGACCTGACCTGTCTCCTTTTCTCTGCTCAAGTCTGCTGTAGTCTGGTCTGTGTGTGTCTGTTTCACCGTAAGCCTGTGATACTGCAGAGGAAACTCAGCAGGTTAAACCAGACACACACACACACACACACACACCGCAGTGAAAGAGAAGCAGAGGAAAGCAGCAGAAAAGTAGTAGGCTCTCACTCTCACAAGCAGGCGCACATAAATTAGGTGAATAATGTACATAAAGGATGTTGTTCTTAAATTCTTTGGTCTTTGGGGACTGCATAAACACTGGGCAGGACTCTCGCTTTAATAATGACTCACATCCAGTAACACACATGCACATGGACCAGATGCGGAATAAAATGTGGAATAGAGAAGCTTGAAGGGAGGTGACTTTATTCTTTGCTCAGAATACCATTACTACACTGCATCTTTGCATAGTGGATCATGATCTGCTGCTAATTATTGTTTAAAATCCCCCATCTTTGACCTTTAATTACTGGTAAATTTCCTAACTATGGACAGTAATTTGCTCGTGCTAAGCTATGCTAACTGGCAGCTAGGTATAGATTATTAATTAGCATTTGGGTATGTGGGTGGTGTTGTGCTTCTCATCTAACCTTCCATTACTGTGAAAAAGCATATTTTCTGTCAAACTGCTTATGTATTTATTTTTAATCTCATTCGATAAATGTATCTTCTAAATACTAATTTATGATTGGCTGGCATGTGTCCTCAAATAAAACATATTGTGTAAAACAGTTTCATATTTGTAGCATTCTGGTAGATTAATCATAGCATCATAACTGATGAAGCCTCTTGGATGAGAGGTGAAACATCTTCAAGGAACTCAAGCAAATCCAGTTGCTACGATTAATCTACCAGAATAACCATGACCTGGATGACTGAGAATCTTCACAGACATATTTGTAGCATATTCTGCTGTGCATGTAATGTTCTAGCTCAGTTTGCTTCTTGTGGATTTGTCATGAAATATCACATTAGAACATTTGAAATTAAGAAAGTAGTTACTCCTGATGCAGAACTGTAGACATATTCATCCTGGAGGTTTACATGCTGTCATTTTTGTTTTTTTGTTTTTTACAGAATTTGGAGCTGGTGAAGGTTGATGACATGTCAGATATTATCATCAAACAAGGCCAATGAGAGGAAATTTGTATGAAAAGTCATTGACATTCTTTTATTTCATTCTCTACTTCTACAGCTTTCTTTACTTTGTGTATGTTATGTTTCTTTGTGACACTCTCCTCTTCACATTTTGTGCTTTGATCCTCTTTTTAACTGTTTAAAAGTGGTATCTGCTTTTATTTTCTATAATAATAGCAAAACATATGTCTTTCCTTTTATTCTGTACTATTGACGCATATCTTGTGTAGATAATTTAACTGCTCAACTACCGCACAAAAAATGCATTTTGTCAAAAGAAATAAAGTCTTTTTTCTAATATATGTCTTAGAGGTTAATAGCACAAGATCGGGCCCTTTTTTTCCACGTAATTCACATTTCCAGGGAGGAAATTGACAGTAGTTTTAACACACTTGCAAAAGGACTGACAGGCAAATTGTTTTCCCAAATGGACATAATGGCTCTGGTTATTTTTAGCTGCTTGTGATTCAGGGCAGCAGTTGTCAGACATGACAGCAGGTAATGAAAAGCATTTAAGCTTAGTCACTGCCTCTCTGGATAGAGGTGGAACCGGTTGGTCAGGCCTGAAGCTGCTGGCTGGGTGGAGCACTGTGTGACGCCAACACAACAAGAAGCTGTGGGACAAGGAGGAGTCACTGATCTGAGAGACTGACTTTCAGTCCTGTGGTGTACAGAGAGTTAGTTAAATGTCCTACTGTCTGATTTATTTAGAACATTAATAGGAATGACAAACGCTGCACTCACCACTGTCAGTTTGTCATGTGGATTGTTACACTGAAACATCTTTAACTATTTAAGTGAGCTCTCTCGCATGGAAATCTAATCTAGACATGCTGTTATTATTTAGGGAGGGAGCTGTAAAAGCCTGATAGGGCCTAGATTAGTTATTGTACTGTGGCATGACTTAGTGATTGACGTATTGTTTAGTGAGATAGTGTTGGCCAAGTGCTGGCCCTTAGAAACACTGAAACATAACCAGTGTAGATATGGAATAACATCCACCTAACTCAGAAAATCTAACATGCTCCAACAATTCAAAGGGCAGTGCTATAATAAATAAACCCACTTCTGTTACCTGTGCAAGGAATATAACATTTGTGTTTAGGAATTATTTTTGCTCAGCTGCTCTACGTGACAAACAGTTTTTCTGGGAAAAAAAGAATACAACTGATGTGGTGGGTGTTCTATAAAACTAGTTTTATTGTTTCCTGGTAGAAGGTCTGCTTGCTGCAATCTCACTGCAAATTAATATATTGTTCTGTCTTTAATAGGACACCTTTGCTCAGTTCATTTGTTTAATTACCAACACAAAACGTGACATAATGCCCAGCTCACACCTCAGAGCTTTGAGTTCAGCCAGACAGAATGCAAAATGTTATGAAAGAATCTGACAGCTTTATCTTAATGATTCAGCACACAGCCAGTATGTGATGGGAACACCTTGTTTGGACGCCGACTTGAGGACAGAGGAGAGGCAGGCAGAAAGAGTTAATTGACAACAATAAGGCATGTAAAGGTGTGCGCCTTCAAAATAAAAGCACGCAATTATCGGTGAGAAAAGGCAGGAGTGCCTCCAAACTAATTAACAGAATTTCAGAGAGCCTATTATGCTGAAGTAAGAAGTAAGTTCAAACTCATGCCAATATGAGAGTTAAGGAACACATACTAAATGGTTTCTTATGTTACAGTAACTGTTATCAAAAACCTGATGTGCATAGATTAATACGGTTAACGTTTTGGTACATGTGTTTTTATTGTTACTAGACTACCTGTTGCCATACTTTGGTTTAATGATCAGAGATGCTTGGTTCCATAACACAGCTGCAAATATCTAACCAGATCATACTTTTATAGTAAAATACAATCCAGCAGTAACAAAGGATTTAACTGCAGCTGATAAACTGTGACTGTGACAGCTCACCTGTCTGAGGTGAAGAAAAGAACACACTGTTATTTACTGTTAGATTCTGACTGATGCTGTCTCCATGAGGGAGGATTTATAATCATAAGAAAGTTACTAATGTTGTTGTGCATTAATTCATGCACCTCTGTCTCTGGAGATGTTCATATGGATCCTGCTGCTTTCTGATACTGCAGAACACAGAGAAAAGACTCCTGCAAACAGCTGGCAGTAGCAAACTAAACCTCAGCCCCTGCCTATGTTTTGCTATATGCAGTTTTCCTTTACTTTCGTTTGCGTTCAACCGGACTATGAGGTTTTAGCATATGAATTTGATCAATCAGATTTGGGGTTACCACAGGAGAAGCCAATGAGATGTCAGATGTGGCCCATGCCCCTCCTTAAAATAACAGGCCAAATTCAGAATCATTATTTTATTGTATTAGATTAAATTAGATTAGATTAGACTAGATTAGACTAGATCAGATTAGACTGCACTTTATTTTTCACCACCAGTGGGGAAACTCACTTGTTGCAGCAGTACAGATACAGGAAAGAGCACAAAAAAGTGACAGGAAGAAAAAGAGAACAAATAAGCTATAAATAGGAAGAGCTGAGACATGCAATACAACAGAGCTGTACACACACTATATCCACTATAGATCCATATAATGGATACTATGATTTAAAATTTTTAAAAAAGATAAAGAAAAGAAAATATGGTACAATATGATATTGCACATAAGGGAGATATTTATTATATTTATTATAGAGATAAATGGGTGGTAAAAATATAGCCCTGTATGAATAAAACGTATGAAACAACTACAAATAATATGAATAAAGACGTTTTAGAACTTCCATCCTGCATGTAAAACACTGAGGCAGATTTTATGTTTGTTTTTTTTAATGTATTTCTTATTGTACTATATAAGTTCAACAAAACTTCAACAAAAGTTAACTATTCAGGTTTTTAAAACCTATTTTAAGACTCTCCTAAGATGCCAGGACGCTGGTTTATTGTAAAGCCCGTCGGGAAGCTGCGGCTTTGTTGGTTTAACTTGACACCTGGAGCGAAGGAATTCAGTTCAAAAGAAAAAACCTACCAGGAAGTTCACAAGAGGAGGAAACCTGTTGGGTTCGTCGGACCATCAGGCTTTCAGGACTTATGAACAACTTTTAAAACGTTTTAAGTAACAGCGTCAGCTTTAGACAAAGTTGATACATCGAGCAGTTGTCGGAGGGTTTTGTTTCCAACAAGATGGACATTGATCCGGTAGGTGATCGTAGCTGTTGTTTGTGTTGTTGAGGGGAAAGCCTCTCCGCCGCCACCATTGTCATACACGCAACAAGTGTGTTTCCACATATAAGTTTGAGTACAAACTTGTGGTTTCTCGTCTGGAAATGACCTGCACGAGTCAGCGCATTAACTTTTTATTGTTGAGAGAGGAAGTTTGAGAGTCGACTAACAAAATGGCCTAATTCCACCCACTGCTCAGCTCGGACTGTGTGTGCTGGAAATGATGGTTTACGTGGAGTTGAGATGTAGTTTTTTTCTCTTGGGCCAAGCAGGACACTTCACACGAAAGCTTTCATCCACTAGTATATATTTTTGAAGTTTTTAAATCAGTCACTAACTGATGAAAACGTTTGTTTGTTCACATATATAACGTAAAAGCTTGGCTCTGCTCCACAGCCTGGGGCCATACTCCCACTAAAAGATGTAGCATTTTAATGCTAACTTACCCTTCTGCTGATAGAGATCACATTTAACCCTGCCACAGGTTGGCTCAGGACATTTTTTAATGGCCACATTTCTCTCTTAATAACTTTCCTTAGATATTTTACACAGTGCAGTATTTTTATGGATTAAAATTAAAACTTTTACAGGTAGACTTGGCTGTTTTCAAACGTATGTTTTGCTAGCTCCAGGTTGTGCACTGCTCGCATTATAGAAATGCTAACATTCGATAGCTAGCATCATAGAAATGCTAACACAAGAGAGACACTAACTGGGTTTAACATTTTACAGTGGCAACGCTGAAATGACATTAAGGATTGATAAATCCACATATTATTCTAAAGAGGTTTTTGATCATTCTTTGTGTTTAAATATTGCACCTGTTACGCCTTAAATAATCAGTCTATTTTTAAGTTGCTAATAACTGAAGCTTTTCTGTGAAAGAATAGTTCAGTATCATAAATGCCGTGTTTTTTTCATGGTAAGGTACCTATACAAGCAGTCGTACATTACACATATTAATTGTGTATTTTCCTCTGTTCCCACCTTAATAATTTCACCTTAAAAAGTCATTTTTTATAAACTGTTGTTATTTTTTCAACTCCTATCAAACACAAACCCTCTTAGACAGTTGTCACTGGGACTGAACAATTCAACCGCAGTATGTCAAAACACTGTCCAAATAGCAGGAGCTGCAACTTCCTTGATAAAAAAATAACATCTAACTCCGAATACCATTATAAATACAGCTTTGTGGTGCTATAAAAATGTCCCGGCCTACAAATGATATTGTCCACATGTAAAATAACAGGCTTGTTTCGGACAGAGTGCATCAAAAAATATGTTTGTTTTTTTCAGTGGAAGAGAAATGGAAAAAATGACCATTACCACTAAAACTGTCATTCATATTGGAATATCTGTCATGGCAGTGTTTTTTTGTTGTTTGTTTGATTTTGGGGGAGCATATTGTTCAGTCTTAATCATCTCTACCAAACGCTTGTCTAGCGAGGGCCTAATGAGTATCTGTTGGTGGTTATAAGTGTCATTACTTCTGCTAAACAATTAAAAACTTCCAGGCGAATGTTTAAACAGCTACACTCAGTCAGCTGTGCAGAGGAGAACACATAAACAAGTGTTTGCCTGTAGCATGCTGCGTTTATTAGGAACGGTGTGTACAGCAGCACTTTTAGAATGCTTTAGTAAAAGGAAAATCTCGCTGCCCGTCAAACATCTGCATGTGGTCTATTCAAGTCTAGCATTCACAGATTAGAGTAATTTCACATTTGACTAGATTAGGATGTGAGCAGCGAGGATTTCGTGTGGCGTACCAAGACAAATGAAATCCATTCTGTGCATGTATGGCCACAGCCAAACATTTTACCAGGAAGGATTTGATTCATCTCCTTCACATTTCAGTGAGCACTTCCTTATTAGTATCAGCTGAATAGTTACAAGGTGCCTTGTTTGTCAAGCTTTTGTGTGAGTTGCCAAGTTTCATTTGAAAACTGAGAACACTTTCCAAATACAGGAGAGCAGCTTATTTTTGAATGGGATACCTAATGTGACAGTCAGTGTTCTTGTACTGTGCATGTTTCTGTCTCTTTGTTACGGTGAATATTGATATTTGATAGCTATCAGCCATTCAGCGGGCCTTGCTGAACTGCTAGCAGTGGTACAGATGGTTAAGAAAGAGAATAAACTTAGTTTACAAGGCAGATCATTAAAAGTTTAACAGGTTGTACTGTATCACCACTGATGATAAGGTATTATTTATTGTGGAGATAAAGGACAAAAAATATGTGAACCTAACAAAGTAACACAACTGGGACATGAGCTGCTCCTTAAAAGCAACTCCGTAAAAGTTACAAAACAGTGCTTCAAAAGAAAGAGGGAAAAACGGAACAGGAAGAAAAGGTACATAGCAAGAAGGGAGGGAAGGCAACAGGAGAGAAGGGAGAGAGGAGGTGACGCAGGAAAGCCGGCCCTGTTTCCTAGAGACAGTTTGTTTATGGTCCGTTGCTGCCTCATGGGACATGCAAGTCCCTGAATGTATACTGACACAGATGGCACACTGCATAAGACCTTTCAGCTCTAAAAATCACACCTACAACTGTGAGATAGAAGCTTATCTTTCTGCTGAATGCTGAACACGCTGTGGCGGGCGTTCCCAGAAATGTAAAAACAATCATCTGACAGCTAGCAGGCTGTGCTGTCGTGTGCAGCAGCTCAAGAAACAGCAAAAGCACTCTCAAAGCCACCAGCAGCTGTCTGGAAACACAGACAAGGCTGAAAGGGAATGATTTGATTTCTGTCTTTAAACTCTGGCAGCCTGACAGTAAAAACATGTCAGACAAAGTTCAACAGGACATATTTACAGAAGCCAGACAATGCTAGCACTTAAAGGGAAACTCCAGCAGAGTATGTCTGTACTTCCATAAAGTCGGGGGACTTACAAGTAGCTGAGCAACTAATGAATCATTTCATTGTCTTTTAATCTGTCATTTATTTGCTTGATTCATCGATTATTTATGTGGTCCAAAATATGTCAGAAAAATGTGACAAATGCCCATCTGTATTTCCCCAAGTCCAAAATGGCACTCGCTAAATTCTTTTTGTCCACAGCCCAAAGATATTCAGTTAACTGTCAAAGGATGAAAGAAACCAGAAAATATTGAAATTTAAGAGGTTGGAATCAGAGAATTTAGAGAGTCTCAAACCAATTATCAAAATTATCTGCCTCTTGTTTTAATAGTTGGATTCCACATTTCCCACAAAGCAACTTAATAGCTTTTTTTCTGTCCTGCCTCTTACAGTCTCATTGCGCCCTAAATCCACACCTTCAGTTTGTATCATAAGTTCTGCCATTTAAAAAAAATAAATAAATAAAATAAAATAAGTTTTAACAAGTGATTTAGAAGAAGATAGAGATTTAGTAATCAGGATCATTCCAAAGCGTAGGTGCTCTGATAATAAAGGCACTGTTCGCTCAGGTCTTAAATCTAGACCCAGGAACAGCCAGCAGGTCCTAGTGTGGAGTTTAGAGTAACTCTGAAATATATTCTGGAGCTGGGCCATGAAGAGCCTTAAAAGTAATCAATGAAATCTTAAAATCAATCCCATATCAAGCTAGTCTATTGATGCTAAAAGTGGCATTAAAACCCTCGTTAAGTGTTCTGTACCAGCTGGTGTCTGTTGACTACTTTCTGAGTTACGCCTGCTAACAACATTTCATGCTTTCCATGTCCGCGAGGGTTTGTCACCACACTGACTGCACATGTAACACACAAGCAAATGGTGCTTAGAACAAATGCTTGTTTTCAAGAGAAGCTGTGGAAGAAGATTCACTGTCATCCACACCTTCTTAATGTGCCACCAGAAGAATTTAAGTTGAAGTAGTTACTGTGCTTTGAGTCGTACATGTCGATGGCACCCAAACACAGCGGTGGAATCCCAAATCGTCAGAAATTCTCTTGTATGTCCAACCACTGCGATCCATCAAGTGTTTCCTTAACGTTCGGCACGCTTCAGTTCAATTCAGTTTTATTTATATAGCATAGTTCACAACATATGTCTTCTCACAGTGGTTAGCATAGTAAGGTGAAGACAAACACTTCAGCACTACGACCAGCTGCTACATCCTGTAAACTGTCACAGTGGCATTTTCAGAAACATTCACGGGGAGGTTAATGTGAGGGACAATGTGACACAACACTGACCCTTCACTATGTATTTTGTAGTATGAATTAGAACTGTGTGCATGTCCACGTTCAAAGTCTGCATTGGCCAGGGCGTGGGGATGTGAAACCCATTAATTAGCCTTTTGACAGACTGGGCCAAGTAGTCCAATAGTTCAACTTCTGCATTTTTTAAATGAAAAGATCTTGATCTTTCAAAGAAAGTGGAACAAAACTTGAGTGGACTTGAGTGTGGTCTGTAAAGTGCTAAAATCAACTAACAGGAAACTAAACAAAGTTGCTATAGGCAGGCTCACGTAGGGCTGAACAAGTATTCAGTTCCATTCAGCTATCAATCAGCGATGAGATGAATAAATGAAGAATTCCCTGTACTAGTAATGTTTAATTTTACAGTTGTGATATTTGAAAGTGTCATTAGGATTTAAGGCTCATCTCACCCATGACCCCTGACCTTTTTAAAATGTGTTAAAAGACATGCGTCAGCCTGTTATTTAGACTATTGTACAGTGACACGCTGATTAGTGCAGTTTCATTAGTGAACTGATAACAGAAAATGTGAAATGAAAATGTTATTACTCCAGAGACTCCAATAAATGTCCTGTGACTGTGTAAAGCTTTAGGAAGTAAAGGTTGCATAAACCCTAAAATATTGTTATGTCTCTACTTTTATTAAAACTTGTCAGATAAAATTCCTTTTGGCAGCTAAATTCCAAAGTGATTTTCTGTTTTTAATTAAAGTGTCCTTTTCACTCTCATAAAAACCACTGTATGATGTATAGACTTAGATTGGAGCTAATTCCTCGTCTTTAACCATCTCTCTCTACGCCGTCCCAGGAGCAGGGAGGAGTGGAGGCAGCACCGGAGTCCAAGGACAAGGTGCAGACGTTGAAGGATCAGGTAGATGGAGTGAAAAACATCATGACACAGAACGTGGACAGAATCCTGGCCCGAGGAGAGAGGCTGGATGACCTCATGGGCAAGTCAGAGGATCTACAAGCAGGGGTCAGTGATATCACAAGGACTTTCACTTCTAGTTGTGTGAAAATGGGTCACAATGTAGCCTATGCTTAGAAATGTGCGTGTTTGTGAGTAAGGAGAAGCTATGATTGTAGTGATAGTCTTCAGGTAAACCAGTATAGCAAGATTTTACAGAACAAAAATGACGTGTGGCCTTTATCTTCCCGTGAACAAAACTTTTAATGTAACGCTTGTTGATAGGACTTTGTTCCTGCTGTACTTTTGTTATGTGATTAAGCTCATTAACCCCCCAGCCTCTTGCGTGAGGTTCGGAGGCCTCTGTACAGCCTCTGTATACCTGTGTCATGGTAGACATTTTGATTTTGTCATATCCGAATAAGCACAGGTGGAAGTGATAGCACTAACACTGGCAGATGTGTCTTAAGGAGCCACACCAATCAGCCATCATTCACAAAGCCAGATGCCTGAAACTGATGAGTTTAAATGGAACGCAGTCATAATGTGGCTAGGTATGCCTGTGATGTTTCAGCAGGAGCATGTCATCAGAACTGCACCTATTCACCACAGGAATGAATGAAGTGCAACCTTTCTGTAAAAGTACACAATGCTTCATTCTAGTTTTGCATTTCTCCCTCTCTCTCCTAGTCCGTCCCTCTCTCCACATGTCCTCTCTCTATGCAGGCTGCAGCTTAACATTTGGAAAAAGATGAAAATAAATAGATAATAAATAAATAAATAAATAAAAAACCATTGAAAACTACCTGCCTCATGAAAAATGTGACAAAACCAGTTTTCCTTGCTCAAACCAAAAGGAAGAAAAACTCACGAGTTAATGTTGTTTTATCTTGTTTGTTTTAAACATACAAAACTGGTCATTTTTTAGCCTTAGGACAGAGTCAGGCTGTCTCTCCTGGTCATTATGCAAAGCTAAGCTGACTGACTGCTGACTACAGATATATATTTATGCCCTTTTAGACATGGAAGATATTTATGTCTCCATCAAATTGTCTGTCATTCAGCCATAAGTCACTTTTATGCTGATGTTCCTCACAGCCTCATTCACACGGAGAGAGCCACAGTACGCACATAGTAATTTGCCATAGGTGCAAGATTAGACCATAAATCAAGGTTCAAGGAGCTACTAATAAATAGGATTTAACCTAAACTAATAGCAAGATTATCAACATGGAGAACAGGATTGGTCAGAGAAAATGACACTGTGTACTTTCCTTCACCTCAGACAGTTGAGATGTCACACGCAGTCACAGTTTATTGGCTGCAGTTTCTGTTAGATGAAGTTCTTTTTTTATTGTAGAGGAGATTTTTATTTGTTTGTTTTCCAGCCTCACAGCAGGATATTTGCCGTAGTGGTCCATGGATGTGTTCCCGCAATTACATATCTATAGAACCTATCTTTGCTCCTCAGTAAAGTAACTACCAAAACCATGTCCTCCCTCACTATACCTTTTAAATTGACTTTTATTTTTTATTTTTTAAATAAATTTGAAATTCAAAGCAGCAACAGCTTTAATGTCATCTGAAAAAGGTGGGAGCAGTATGGATGCATCACTGGCATCTGACTGGTTACAGCACAGAAATAACAAAACACTCCTCTGGGTCATCTGGTGGTTAAGGTGCAAATACTGCCACAGATTCATTCTCAGCCAGGAGATGTCTGTTACATGCTATTCCCTTTTCTCTCTGCTGTTGTTTCCTGCTTCTGTCTAGAGGGAAATGAAATAAATGTAAAAAAAATAAAAGATAACAGCACTCCCAACAAGAAACGTCACACATATTGGGTTCTGCCAAAATGACATGATTGCTTTACTGGATTTCCTCGTCTCCCTCCCTGCTCAGGCTCAGCACTTCAAGCAGACGTCTCAGAAAGTGGCTCGCTCCTACTGGTGGAAGAACGTCAAGCTGATCGTGGTCATCGTGGTGATCGTCCTCGTCATCGTGCTCATCATCATCCTGCTGGCCACTGGAGTCATCCCTGTTAGCGCCCCCGTGCCTCCTGTAGTCCCCTCCCCCACCATCAAGCCCTAAAAACACACACACACACACACACACACACACACACCATGTACATACAGACACGATTAAATCTTCAACAAACACATTCCTGTTGCACAAAGTTATATATCGACTCCAGCCAATCACTGATGTCTGGTGAAGAACATTGAATACTTACTTTCTCGCTGTAACTTTCAGGAATTCAGATATTTCATTCTTTGGTTTAAGGCACTTTATTGACACACAAGCTTTTGAAACCCTTTTAAACAACTCCAACAGCTGTTTGTGCATTAGTGAGAATTCTCTGGAAAGTCTGAGGTCTTCACTTGACCGCAGCAAACACACAGTCACTGCTCTCAAAGGACGCTTCATTCCACCTCAGCCAGCTCCTCTTTGTTTAACTGATTTATCATCAACGGTTATTTGATTCTGACAAGAGCAAGTACCTTGAATGTTTATACACAGAAAGAATGAATGTGGGTTCCTTCGGTCTCTTGACTTTGCATTAAGTGAAATGTTTTTGCTTATACGCGTCTTTACCAAGGACAGCTTGAGCAGTTTAAATTATGACAAACTGTGTCTAAAGGAAGTCAGGCAACATATTTTGACTTTTTTTTTTTTAACATTGAAAAATGCACTCAAAACTAACAGTCTGAGGTCACATTATATTTAATGGAAGGTTGAACTAGGTATTGGAATTTGTATGTTACCAATTGTGGGCTCATTCATAGTTTCTGATAGAGATTCAGACAATCTTGGAAAACAATTGTTGATTGAATGTATGCACTTAGCACTGCTTTAGTTCTTCAGCGCTGTAATCGGTGTTTGTGGAGACGGTTATGAAACTATTTTATGCACAGAGAAGCATCTGTTACAGGAGAACAGTGAACTGTGTCGGGATTCAAAATATCTGCAGTAAGTAGAACACCCAGGAGTGTGTCTCTACATGTACATCTGCCTTTAAGTTGAGCCGTAAAACTCAACTGATGACAAGACATGCAGTTATGTGGTTGTGAAATGTAGAAATATGTGTTTCTTAAGGTACTGTGCAACAACATCAGCCTTTTTAGTATGATCATGTTAATTATTTCCTTACAGTGTGTATATTTTTTCTGACATACCACTTTGATCGTTTATTTGAATAAACGCACCACCACACTCATGTCAGTGTTGGAGGATCTTCCTGCCAACCAGCTTGGAGAGATCACTTACTGATACAAAGCTCCTCCTGCTGGGCTCATGTCAGCCAATTGGCCCTCACAATCAGAACTGGAAAATGAAATTCCAAAATGTGGCCTTTTTTTTTTCCAGAATACTAGTCAAAAGATCTCGTGTGTCTCACCTCTCACAGCTGTTACGGACCAGTTTAGCTTCAAAGAGGTCAAAATGCTTCCAATTCTGATCTGTATATAGTCATACCCTCACCTATATGTATATTTGCTACACCTTAACCAACATGTTAATAAAAGTGTCTATTCCTTACAGGCTATTAATTTAATGATTAACGTTTTAATTAAAAATGGACCAATAAATGCTGAATGTGATTTCTGTATAAATTGATTAATTTTAAAATGGTACAGTCCAGTTAGTCTGCTGTTGATCTTTTTCTCTCTCTTTTTTTTTTTGAGTAGGGTTAAAAGGAGATTGTGTTGGAACAAATTCTCCTGTGTGTCGTTTCTGTGTATTTTTGAACATGCTCCTGGGATGCAGTAGTCTCTGATATGTTGTAGCCTCCTGCTGACCTGATCAATATGGCAGCAGGAACACAGTCTTATTTGTATTCATAGAGGCTCCAGCTACAGCAGGTCTGTCACTGTGTGAGACTGTTTTTAGAATATGTATTCTACAAACGGACAACATACCAGACTCCTGCTCAGCAGCTCTGTAATGTAGCTCAGTGTTTGATTAGCAGAGTTCTTATTCATATGACTTATGGTATTTAATGGTTTTGATGGTCTGATATGAAATAAATAGTATTTACTTCTGCTGTGCTGTGGTGTGTGCCCTCATTTGTTGTTTGCCCCGTTGCCACAAGATGGCGACAGAGTTTTATTTATTTTGCCGATTTGATCAGTAAATACATAAGGGAAAATGTAAGAATATCATCTGAGAACTGATGATTTCAAAGTTAAGAAATGTTAAGTCTCTAATTTATCCAAACTGCTGGAATTTTCAATGGAGTAAAAACAAACAATTTAAAATTACAAACTCATCATCAAAGTCAGTTCAATTACTTGATGGAAATAATATAAATTCCTAACAAGAATTGGACCGTAAGTCACTGTCTTAAAGGAATACTCCTGCAGAGTCTGGTACACATCCATAAAAGGATGGGATTTAAAAAAATACTTAAGAGTGGTTTGCAGTATATAATATGGGTTAATCTAAAAATAATATAAAAAAAAAAAAAACACTGAATCCTACACTTCCCATGATGTAAAGTGCTAGATATTATTATTATACCATGCCAGGCTGATAGAGCCCACATTCTAGAGACACCTTGACCTTTTAGATTTGGTCAAAGAAAATAAAGTCAGATATTATACTCGAGTAAGAGTAGCAACACCACAGAGCATAAACACTTTGGTAGAAGTAATGGTCGTGCCTTTAAATGTTTACTTAAATAAAACTGCTGATGTTTTTGCATCAAAATATACTTCAAGTATCAAACGTAACAGTACTCATGCAATATAGCATGTCAAAATAAAGTATACTGGAATAGAATTATTGATTAATTATTGTGTTTATCACTTGGACATAATTGCTAAAAGGGATTTAACTACTTGACAAAGTTGATCTGCTGTATAGTTTGTACATTTATCCTTAGAGATCAATAAATCTTTTTCTTATTCTATATCATTCATTTGTTTATTATTTTTGTATTGTTGAACTAAACCCACAAAGTAACTAAAGTTATCAAATGTAAATGGTCTGCACTTATATTAAAATGTTTTCTCATTCATCCATTCACAGACACGTTCATAAACCAATGGTGACAGAGCTGCTACGCAAGGTGCTGCCTGCCACAGGGAGCAACTTCAGGTTTAGTGTCTTGCCTAGGGAGACTTCAGCTGTGGAGGGGCCGGGGATTGAACTGCCAACCTTGCGACTGGAGGACAATCCGCTCTACCACCTACACCACAGCAGCCACAAATTATGGGCAAATAATTGTAGTGATGTACAATATCTTAAATGTAGCAAAGCAGAAATATGAAGTAGTAGAGGGTGGAAATACTTACAGTCGTCCTCAAATTTATTCATACCCTCCAATTAAAGAAGAAGAAAAAAACAGCTGTTACTGAAATAAGTTGAAATTGACAAAAGTAACAATAAGAAGAAATTTAAAGAAAATCATGACATTGCTTTTGAATTGCGGTTTAACAGAAATATTTTTTAAAAAAAGAAAGAAAGAAAGAAAAGAAAGGAAAACAAACAAACAAGCATGATGGGACCCGTAAACTAATATTTTGTTGAACAACCCTTTGAGCCAATCACTGCAATCAAGTGTTTTCTGTAACTCTCAATCAGACTTCTGCACCTGTTGACAGGTATTTTCATTTCGGCCCACTGCTCATTAACAAAGTGCTCTAATTTGTCCGGGACAGTTTTGTTTGTTTGTTTGTTTATTTGTTTAATTATTATTTTCCACCACAATTCAAAAGCAATGTCTTATTTCACTAAATTATAATTTAGCAAATTTTTATTTATTATTGCTTTTTCAGTTTCTAGTTATTTGAGTGACTATTTCTCTGTCTCTTTAATGGAAGGGTATGAATGCATTTGAGGACAACTGTGAATAAAGTGCATGCAGTGAAGTCCTAAAATGTTAATGTAAACATTTAGTTTAAATTAAACTTAAAAATCTTAAATTGCACCTTTACTGCTTCATTTCAAATCTGTTGTGGTTTTGTACGGAAGCAAAATTGCAAAAAATTGTGTCACTCTCTGAAAACCTATGGCGCTGAATCTAAGTGACCTAACTGTGTCTTTATAACCTAACAGATCTCAGAAACATTCTATCTTCCTACTAAAATACATATTACTGGATTTTGAAGAATTTCCCACAAGTGTCCCGATTTATATTATAAAATTTAACAGTGAGATCATTGATTGGAGATTTGCCTTCTAAAAATGTTCTTTGATTTCATTATCTGATAAGGCAATATAAATTTAAATTCTTCTTCAAACTCCTTCAAAATTTTAAATTAACTTAAGTTCTTGAGAAGGAGGAGCAGTTTAACTTTCTTTTGTGTCACCACCACGCCCGCCGATGGGGGGGGGGCAAACGGGTCTGTTGTCCCGGGCCCAGAGTGGGCTGGGGGGCCCAGAACTGGACCCTCATTGAATTATGGATTTTTTTCCCCAAAGAAGGGCTATTAATGGAAAGAAACAG